AACTTTTGAGTCTTTATTTAGTTTAGGTTTAGCCAATATTTTTAACACAGCTGAATGTCTTGGGAACTATGAAATTTTCTCGCTTGGTCCGGCTAGAACAGCAGCTGACAGTTAGGCTCATATGCGGCAGCTCAGTTTTCCACTCATTCTAAGTGTTTTAGATTACCGCCATCCGAGCGAGTTTTTGTGCCGTTTCGTAACTGTAGACGAAACATGAACCAAAAAACCATACACTAACGCATCCTCATACTGCTGTAGATGATAGGCTACCAGCCAAATGAGGGCAGATGACAACTAAGCGAGTTTAATTAATTGCGCATGAAGTAATGAAAAAAAAAAATTCATTGATTGTAAGATGGCGATGATTTGCGAAAAAAATAAAATTTTACAATTTTTACTGTCACACCCGAAATGAATTCTGAAAATGTTACATACATGGACCGAACATAACAGTTATTGATGAAAACTGTCATGGAAAAATTCACTATGAAGAAAATGTTCTACAACTAAGTGATACATACCAATCGATTCCTTTTTTCACCGAGACCCAAATTTGAAAATAAATTTTTATTTGCAATTTTTACGTAAAATTACAAAAATAATAACTATATTTGATTTTCATATTATAAATCCAAAATAACAATTATTTTTGATTTTTATTTTATATGTCTTAGAGAACAGTTATTGAAGTCTTTTATTTATAAATCATTCGTATAAAAGTCATTAACATTTTTCGCTGTTAAGAAGATGTTGAAGCTTACTACGACTTATACAAATGACTTTTATAAGTATGATTTAAAAAATATAGGTCAGTGACTGATTTTTTTTCATGACTTTTATAAATAAAAGTCTTCGATAACTGTTATCTAAGACATATAATTGAAAAATCAAAAATAACTGTTATTTGCAGATTATTTAGATAAAAATCAAAAATAATTGTTATTTTCGATTTATTAAATAAAAGTCAGAAATAACGGTTATTTAAAGAGTAATTAAATAAAAGTAAGAAAATAATTGTTAAAGAGTGATTTTTTAATAAATGTTTTAACTGTAAAATAATATATATGTATATGCTCTTTTTTGGTGCGACACTTGAAGTAAGAAATAGCTAGGAATCGTACAGCATCCTAAGTAAAAACACTATCAGCTGACTGTCAAAAAATGCTTACCGCTGCTATTTTGGCATTTCCTTTTGTCGATTACAATTTCTTCCATTTTAATTGCCTTTTTACAAAATATACCACTACACTGACCAATACCACCAATACACTAACCAGTGTTGCCGTTTTGATTGAATATTTTTCGAAATTTTAATTTTTGGGTAGATTGATAGATTTGGTTAATTGCTGCGGGTGGTTCGGCTTTGTCATAAAGGAGCACAACAATTTTTCTGTTAATCAATTCTGTTCGGTTAGCCATGCCCAGCGCTGGCAGAACTCCATAAGCAGGTGCAAAACTTTTTCACTTGCTTATGGAGTTCTGCCAGCGCTGTAGGGATGGCTGATCTAAGTAAATACTCGTAATTTTTCACTCGTAAGTTTCTTCTTTCTTCGAGCGAATATGATCCAATTTTCATCGCGATTGATCGAATTTCAAAATGTGGGAAGTATTTAGACCTCATCTTTTTTTTGGCAATCATTTGAGAGAAACGAAAAATTAAAAGTATTTACATACATATGTATACGAAGATTAAAAAGAGTTCAGTTTTATCAAAGAAGATATTTATTCATTAAATATATACATACATATAAACTAAGGAACTAAAAAATATTAATAAGAAAAAAAGAATATAAAGTGACAATTAATGCAGTGGTGGACAGCATAAAAATTAAAAACAAATATATATATACGCATACACACTATTTTTATAATTTTCCTCAAAATTCTAAGTAAAATAAAATATGGCCATGCTTTTTACCATAATGACACCAAGCTTTAGTTATACATACATACAAATGTAGTTGAATATCGCACGTTTAATAAAAAAAAGAATTAATTCAAAATTTATCTTTTTGGTTATTTTAACACTCAATTAATAGGCTTGGTAAATATCATACAACTATACAAATTTTTTATACTTTAATTGCCTCTCTCACAAAATCAAAATTTTAAATTAATTACCTTTCCTATTAAACGTGCGTTATATTGTTTTATACAGTGGCGGGAAAATAAATAAGGACGCAATATTTAAGAAATTTTGACTAAGTTTGTTTATGTTTTTTTAATGTTTATTGATTTTTTATGAAAGCTTACTATCTAACAAAATGCATGTAAGTGGGAATTTCAAACTCTGTACAAAAATTAGGAAAATTGTAGAAACTTTCTTTAAAATTTAAATTTTTTAATAGAAATTTTTAGAAAAAATTGTTGTATGTAGTTTTAAAGCCCATTAAATTCTAGTTGATTTTTGGCGATGTTTTTTGCTAATGGTGCCACCTATTTTTTTTTGCCATAAAAGTATGCTCGACAATTTTTTCATATGGAGGAAAATGCATAACACCAACAGGAAAAAATTGCCATAGGTCGCTGCGCGTTCTAAATACTTCAAACTTGAATTTTATTTTACTAAGGGCGTTTACATTTTTTTTTTAAGAAAACGCCATAAAAGTGTGTGTGGATATTTGTTGAAAAAAGATTTTATAAATTTTGTAGGTAGAAAATGTGACATTTTTTTTAAAGAAAGCGCCATAAAAGTTAATAGGCTACAAAACTTCATAACTAGATTTTTTTTTAATTGTGAATAAAAAGTTTAAAATTTTGATGTGAATATTTGTCGAAAACAGTTTTTGTAAATCTTGTAGGAAAAAAGTTTGAAATTTTGACTTACTTGACTTTTGCGAGACAGCTATACTTTTACAAAAAAAAAGTTAAAAAGCGTTAAATAAACAAAAGAAAAATTGTCAAAACTTCTTAGAACGTCGCATCCTTATGTGTTTGCCCGCCAGCGTACTTCCACGCCGTCAAATGTTTATGAAGCCTTAGGAAAGTATTTAAAATTTGCTTAAAAAAAATACATTATCTAATATGAAAAATAAAACACTTTAAACCTATTACTGCATTTACAATTTTACACTTAAAAAACTACATATCTATAGCTAAATATGTATGAAGAAAAAATCGAACAACAGAAGCGTTTCAAAAATTATAAAGTATACGACAATTTTTTATTTTTGTTTTATTTTAAGTGAATTTACATAGTTTAATCTAGCGTATGCACATTTATACATACATACATATGTATTTATCTGACTTAACCCATTTACCCGCTGACTTAAATTTACGAAGGTATACAAAATTTTTGAGTGCACTGTATGTTATTAATAAAATATTGCAAAAGGTAGTAATTATTTCAAATGGTATTAAAGAGTCTGCTTGCTCTATGTACATATGTACATACATACATGTGTATTTTACAAAGTTTTTATGCATAGAAATATATATGTTTATACATATGTACATATGTATGTATATGTACATACGAGTAGTTTAGTTATGTATGCTGTGTATTTGCGCGTGTGGAGTACAAAGTTCAACGTGCTATTATTACAATTGAAGTTAGATAGAAGAAGGAATCTGTATGTATGTAGTATTTAAGTGGAGCCAAAAAAAAAAAAGTAAAATTCAATTTGCTATTATTTACTAATTGTTTTTGTTGTTTATTAATATTTGTTGGTTCGTAGAGAACTTGTTTGTTAGGAGCCGAAGGTGAGTGGAGTAGGTTCTTAGGCACGGCATAATAAACACCTTTCAATTAAATAATTTCAAATATGTTTTTGAATTTGTAATTTTTTTTTTTACATACGTATATGAAAAGTGTGCTGCGTGATTTGATATAACTTTATACATATGTATTCCTTCATATTTTATGCAAAGCTAATTTTATTGTTAAGTGCATGTTTTTGTTAATAATTGCTAAACGGCGAGAGTTTTGAATTGATTTTTATATTAAATGTACATATGCAATTAGAGCTGAGACTTTTTTAAATACCTGCTTAAATATGTACTTGGGTATGGTGTATGTATGTGGATTTTTGGTGCTTAGTTTCTTTTTATTTCTGTACTTTATTAATTTTAGCTTAAAACTGCACGCTGTTTATTGCTCCAATAAAGTTTTTTTATGCTCTTTTTTTTTGTTTAGGCTTAGTTGTAGACTAATTTTGTAAACTGTGCTTGTAAGCCATTGATCGTTTAAAAATATATGTACATACATACCGTTGGTGGAAAATAAATAGGGACACGATATTTTAACAAATTTTGCCTATTTTTCTTTTGTTTATTTAATATATTTTTTCTTTTAAATTCATATTTCAAACTTTGTAAAAAAAATATAAAAATTCTGCAAAATTGCATCTAAATTTTAAATTTTTTAATCAGATTATTGAGTATGCAGTTTTATAGTCCATTAGATTTTGGTAGAATAAAGTGCAAGTTTGAAGTTTCTAAGAAATCGCGTTGAAGTTTAAACGACTTCAAAAAAAGGAGGAGGTTATCAATTCATCGGAAATATTTAGTTTTTGTTATGTATGTTACCGCGTAAATTTGGTCCACGTTAACCGATTTCTATAATTATTATTTTTTAAACGAAAGGTGGTCCCATTTTGGTTAAGAAGATCCGTTCATCGGACCATAAGGAAATTAACGGTACTTTTAAATTTTTATATGAGAATTGAAGTCGTTTTTGTTTTTGCTTAAAAATTGCTTGTTGATAATTTTTTTTCTGTATGCATTCCACGCTCTTTCCATTAAAAATAAATTTTTCAAACATACGATTTCTAGCGACTTTAAGCTTACACTTTATTCTACTATTTATTGGGCTTTAAAAAAGTTAAATTAAAAAGTTAGGAAGTTAGTTGCAATTTTGCACAATTTTTATAATTTTTGTACAAAGTTTGAAATAGGAATTTATATTGTTTTTTGTTATATAATGAGCTATACTTTTACAAAAAAAAATTAACAAATTTTATATAAACAAAAGAAAAATAGCAAAAATTTGTTAAAATGTCGTGTCCCTATTTATTTTTCCACCACTGTATGTATTTTTGATATTTGTATATTTTTTGTTGGCATAAAATGATTAGGTTTGTATTCGAAAATAAGTAAAATTTGACACTTTAATTAAAATTCCGCTAAAAATTTTTTGCTTCACATTTTGCTTAGCTTATAATCTTCTACTATTGTAGTTGCTTTCACACACATAATAAAACGCAAAAAAATAAAACGCTTAAAGTAAATTCCCGTCGAAATATTGTACGTACACAAACTTTCTGCAGGTACATACACACATACATATGCGAATTTGTATGCATCTTTATATAACTAAAAAAAAGGCAATCGTTTCAAACACCGCATTGTTATTTCATTCGTTACTCATTTCATTCTTTGTCTGTAATCGTAAAAGCAAAATGGAAACTTTAAATCATAGTAAAGGAAAAATATTTAACTTATTATACATACATACATATTTCGTATATAATCTACACTTAAAGGAGCTCGTCAGGCGCATCCGGCCAAGCTGAGCGAGCGAACATTCGAATTGAGTTGAACGACTAATTGAGTTTCCGGTTTCTTTCATGTTCGTACACTTCCTATTGCTTGTCGCTTACTGCTCATTGCCTCACTTGACTACTGTCTGTGTTGTCAGCTGTCAGCTAAGCGACGAATCAGCTAGTCAGTCAGTTGTTATGCAGCAGCACATTTACAGCATCTTGCTTGATACGTTACATATGTATATTTATGTAATCATATAGATACATATATACTTCCCCTGCATGCTCATTCCAATTGGTAGAACTTCAGTTAGGGCAAATTTAAGCTGATTGATGTATCTTGGTCTCTAGTAAAATATTGGGTTTTAAGCAACTGCTATTCGTGAGTGAAATGGATGTCACGGGCTTCTAGAAGGGTTAGCTCTCGTAGAATTCATGTACGTAAGGGTTTGCTGTTAAATGTGTTTTACTCTCAGCTGAAAGTGGCAAAGACTTAGGTAGCGAATAATCGGTTCCAATAAAAGTTTTGAATTTTTATTTAATGCAAATCTATCTTGAGAACATTTGGCGAACAGCAACAATTTCCACGGAATGTAAATTTTTTACTTGTTTTGGGCTTCAGGGGGTGTTGTACTGTGGAACGATTTTCCATTATCCATTGTCAAATATGACATTACTCTCGTTAGTGAGTCTACAGTGATCTCGGCATGAAATGCCCTAAAAGAGCACTATTTCTCGGATGGCTCTCGCCCTCGGTTCTAAAGAGATACAAAATATCAAAAAAAAGGGGATATTACAAAAAACTTTTTTTTTTTTTATACTCTACCTACTGAGCCATGTAACACACCGGAAGCGCGAGAAGAACTTGATCAATTAGGGTTACTATTTTTGTTGGCTAAGAAATATCTTCTCTAGCGGCCTAAGACTCGGTTATATTTCCGTGATCTGAAAAGAATTCAAGGTAGTGTTCATATCGAAAGCCGGTATAAACTTTGCTTAGGCTAATTCGCCTATTCCTCAAAGTTCACTGGATCTACAAGGCCATTGTTCGTCCGATTTCGCTCTAAGGAGCCCTAATATGGTGGCGCGATTCTACATCTGCCCCCACTTGACGCTATTGCTCGAGAAATAGTCATTATTGCAGCTTTAAGACACAGAGCAGAAAGCTTCTGGACCCATGGTACATCCGGCCACTCGAAAATCCTAAGGACGATGACACCCATTCCGATACCTTCAAGTACTAACTACTGTATACCATTAAATACCTTCATCAAAAAATAGAAATTTACCATTTCAACTCAACAGGACTTTCCCACATACGTAACGCTATAAATATGCATACTGATGGCTACGAAGTCGACGGAAAGGTCGGTGAGGAGCCTTCTCCCCGTAGCTGGATTTAGAAACATTTTTACGGCTTCCGGACTAGTACAGTATATAACAGGCGGTGCCGGTTGTTATCTCGGAGTGCCGACTAGTAAGAAGACCCAAAGACCGTCAAGCAGTCCTGAAAGCTCTAGTCTCAGGCGCAAGTAACACAAAGTCTCTCTCTCGAAATGAGATGGCCCAGCTTTATAGAATACAATTCATATTGATGTCTGGACATAGAGATATTAAGGGAAAATGCAAAGCTGATGAACTAGTGAGGAACGGTACGACCGCCAAAATCCTTTCGGCGAAGGACGTGGTAGGTATGCGAATATACAATTTTTAACTATGTATTAGGGACAGCCCCACAAAAGCAGCAAACGAGCGCTAGGGAAACCTCTACTTCTGTGAAACCGCTAGGCTTACGTGGCCTTCTTACGTTGAACTCTTAGGGTTAAAACGGAGCGAAGCATCTATTCTCACAAGAATACCTACAGGCCATTGTCTAATTGGAGCACATGCCTCGAGTTTGGCGCGTTCACTGCCAGACTACTGCCGCAGCTGTAGATGCAAAGAAGGGGACGATAGTGCAGAGCACCGCATATGCCAATGCGCAGCACTAAGCAGAAGATGACTTCAGAAGCTCCGAAAACTCTGTCTACAGGACTTTGCGGAGATAGCGGAAATCAATATAAGAGAATTACCAAAGTTCATTACGTAGACGAAATGTTTTGATCCCGCGTGAGCGTCGCAATATCATAGGGGAACGAATATTGCATATGGCATCACAATGGGCCTGCGCTGAGCCTTAGTGTACGGGCAGTCACTCTTTATACGTAGACATTTCAATCTAACCTTACTAACCATTGCTCGCGAAAAGGAAGTTGATTTTCTCGTATACAGTCTTGTTCATAGAAATTACCTCACTCAAATTAGTCTCACATGCCAATTCGCACGCTCTTTTCACGCTACTCAAATGCTCCGCGGCTTTTATTTTGTTATTATTATTTATTTATTTATTTTTTTATATGTATGTAAACACATTTGTATATGTATGTATTTTAGGTAATTACGTTTGTATGTATATTTTATTTAAGAATCCTAACTACTGCTTAGAGATGTAAAAGCTGTTGCTACCACTGTTGCTTGCACGTGTACTTCACCTCATACATAAATATTTACATACATACATGTACGTCTCTCTATGTGTGTGTGTGTGTTCAACTGTTTGCGTGCATGTTTTTTTTTTTGAGTGTATTTTGTGTCTAACTGTGCGCGTCGTCCCAACTAGTTAACATATCTACTTATGTACATACATATGTCGTCGATCGACATAACCAGTTGTGCTTTTCTTCGTCCGCTTATTTTGGCTACTGCCTTGACACTGCACTACTTAAAAGAAGAAATCTTCTACATCACCATTATTCTCATCACTACCGCTACCGCTACCGATGCCCATTCCAATTCCTATACCTAAACCGATGCTTATGTTATCGTCGACATTACTCAGCTCGTCGTCGACCGTAGTGTCTTGTTCGCTCAAGCTAAGCGTGATGGGCATGGTGTCTGTGTTTGTGCTATCGGCAAGTGTAGAAGTCGTGGTTGTGGCGGCCGTGGCCGTGGCTGTGTCCGTTGTGTCGTCATCTTGTCTGCACTTCGTTGTATCCGCCAGCGGATTGCCCAGTACCTCAGTGACGTCGACTATGGGCCCCAGCGGATCGAAGGTGTCGTCGAGCAGTACACCACTCTCAATAGCTGCAACAGCTTCCTCATAGTATCAGTTAAGATCCTTTCGAAAACTGTCCTCGATTGTTGGATCGGCAATCATGATCGAGTTCTGGTCCGCTAGCAGATCTAGCGCAGTCTCGTCCATTTGACCCAAATCCAAATCGAGCGAGTCGAAAATCTCACGCGACGAGTAGTCGGAGAAAATGATCGCCGGTATGTTGGTGTTGGTTGGTGTGCTAGCGTGATTGTGTGGATGATGATGGTGCTGCTGGATGTGTTGCGTCGTTTGTTGGTGTTGATGGTGTGGATGCGTTGACGCATTGTTGGTGCCATTACCGTTGCCATGTGGCGTTGGCGACACACCGCCGGCTAATGTCGTTATGCCCGGCGAGGAGGATGACAGTGGGGAGGCGTGGTGCGGCGAATGCATTGGCGAATGATGAGGTGAAGGTTGTGCTGAGTGTGAGTGCAGCGACAGCGACATCTGTTGGTGTTGATGATGTGGCGACTGTGCCGATATGGGAATCGGTAGCGGCGACGAGGGTGACGGCAAGCAGCCCAAAGGCGAAGGTATGGGTGAAGAGTTCTTTTCATTCGCTTGCGTAAGATTCACATTGTTGTTGCTGATGCGACATGGTCCATTTGTGTTTGAGTTGCTGTTGACATTGCTGCCACCGCCGGCGCCATTGTTTTCTAGCAGTTGGTGCGCCAGTATGCGTGACGTCTGTTGTTGCTGTTGCTGCGTGTTGTTGTTGTTGGAGGTGTTTCTGCCATTGTTGGTGTTACACGTACTGCCACCTCTACTGGTTTGCGTTGTCGTCGTCGCTGTAGACACTGAAACGCCTGTCAGATCGCTAAAGTCCAATTGTTTGCTTTGTGATAGGCTCTGCGGGTATGTTGTGCCATTGCCACCGGTGACGAAGTCATCAAAGTCTAGCGCTGTAAAGTTGTTTTGCTGCTGTTGCTGTCGCTGCTGCTGCTGATAATGCTGCTGCAATTGTTGCTGTTGCTCGGGCGAGGAATTGCTATCACCAAGCGTAAACTGCTTGAAGTGGTTGTGGAACGACGGATTGAGACTATTATATCCACTCGCCTCTAGCGCACCCGCCATCGCCGGCGAATAACGATCAAATGTCTGGATGTTTTCCTCATTGTAGCCCTGCATGCCTTGGCCGATCATGCCGGCCTGCGGATGTCGAATCGGACTGGCTGGCGCGCTGATGTGTATCACTTCATTACCTGACACGGACGTCAGCAAGCCGGGCGAAGAGCCTGGACTGGGTGGATTCAGGGGTTGTCGGTAGTCTGTTAGATTGCCCGTGGAGCTGGCGGCGCCCAGGGTAGGCAGGTTGGTGAAATTGCCGGTTTGTGCGGTGTTTTGTGTGGCCGGGCCGCTGCCGGTTGGCGATTGCACGGCTAGATTTGTGAAGGACAAATGCGGTGATGTTTGCGCAGCTGTGGGTGTATTGGCGGCAGATGTGGGCGAGTGCTGTTGCTGTTGGTATGGCGACGGCGGACCTCCACCACCACCACCACCACCGTTGCCGCCATTGCCACCGGCCGGACTAAAGGGACTCGACGACTGATCGCGGTCGCGACCATTGTTGTGCGGTGACAGTATTGGCGAAAGTGTTTGTTGTTGCTGCGGCGCCTGGTTTATCAATTGCTGTTGCTGCGCAGGCGCATAATGTAGTGAAGTCAGATCCGGCAACGAACCAGTGTTGGCGAGCGACTGCTCCTGCAGTGACTTGAATAGGCTATTTATTGGAGGCATATTGCAATTGGTGTATTTGGCATTGAAGTGTTGCGGAAGTTGTTGTTGACTAGCACTACTCGCTGGCTGTTGCGTATGATGTTGTTGGACATGTTGTTGTTGTGCTTGCTGATGCATGTGCTGTTGTTGCTGCTGCTGCTGCTGATGAAAATGCTGTTGCAGCTGCTGATGTTGCTGCTGCAAGTGCAATTGCTGCTGACTATGGTGCAACAGTTGCTGCGCTTGTTGTTGTTGCTGTTGCTGATGCATCAGCATCTGACCCTTTCGTCTTTGTGCTTGTGGACTAAAACTGCGGCCAATATTTGGCGAATGAGATCGTTGGTTGTGGTGCTGGTAGTTAGCGTGCAGCGCGTTCATCTCGCCGGGCAGCCCACCGATGCCGACCATGCCGCCCGGACCAAAGCCACCCTCCGCAGCGACTGCCATATTGAGGGTTTGATGAAGTGCCGAATCGGAGTTGGAGCGCCGCCAACTGCTGTCCATTGGCGGGCTGAGATAGGCGTTGTTGCTGCTAATTGCCGCGCCCATGCCGACTGCGACGCCTGCGTTGCTGCCGTACGGGGAACGGTCCTGCTTGCGCTCCGAGGGGCGTCGCATGGGGCCAACGCCGACGCTGCGTCCACGGGACTCGCGCACAGCATTACCGCCTGTGCCGCCAGTACCTGTGCCGTCTGGGGAAGTGCCACCACTACCACTACCCCCGGCATTGGCGACGGGTCCATTGCTGCCGCTGCCATCAGCGATGCAGCCTCCTCCACCGCCACCGCCACCGCCACCGCCACCGATGCCTGCAGCACTTATCAAACTGGCATTTGTGGCATGATTGCTGCCGATGTCAGTGTTTACCAAACAGCATTCAAGTATCTTCTGATTCGCTTGAGTCTCATCCATTTTGGTTGCGTAAACCTCTTTCATAATCCGTTCGAACTCGGCGGTGCCTTCCTGCTGGCGTTGCTTCTGTAACGCAATTTTCTCGCTAAATTTGCGCGGATTCGCCATCTTTGCTCACTGACTCAAGTCTGCGGTTATGTTAGATGTTCGGATGGGTCGGTCGGTCGGTCGGTCGATTATTGTTGCCGCTGTGGGGCAAGCGCGTGCGACTGTCGCGTGCCGTTTCCTGCTCTAATGGATTGCGTTTATTCGTCTGTGCTGTTGTACTGCTTGCGAAAATGTCAATATCAGACGCGCGGAAGCCGGCATAATGGTGGTCGATGTTAGTGATGTTGTTGTTTTTGATATTCGGTGACAGCAGACGAACAACGACCGACGATGCAAAAGCAAGCAAAGCACAACCGTACCGAACGATGACAACCGACGCATTGATAACACAAACGAACAAACGGGTGCACGTAACCGGGCGACGGTAATGGAAAAAAATGCGAAGCGCATAAGGCGGAGAATTTACGAATATGGTTGGTGTGTCGGCGGGAGTTGAGTGCGAAGGCGGCATCGATGTGTGTGTAACGCACAAATTTGTCCCCCATATATCCATGAATTTGATTATTATTTTTATAGGTGTCGTCGTCAGCGTCGTCGTCGTTGTTGTTGATATTTTAGTTGGCGTTGTCATTGTTTAATAAATTTTTATATTCATCGTTGATATTGCGAAGTGCGCCAAAAAAGATAAAAAGATAAAAAGAAAAAAAGAAAATTCATTTATTAGCCAAAGAAGGGAAAATTTTCGTGCATGTTTGTAGGTATGCGTAGTATATACTAAGTATGTTGGTATGTATGCATGTAAAAAAGTGAAAAAAAACCGGCAAGAGTGAGTAAATAAGTAATGAATGCAGTGTTAATCGAAAGCGTATGTAGCTGCGCAAAGACAATTAAAGCGTATATGGTGGTGAGCGTGTTAAGAATTTATAAATTTTAATAGCCTGGAATATGTATTCATAATTAAGTTATGGACGATTAATGAGTGAGTGGAGGAGGGTCCAAAAACTGGCCTGAGTACTGTGGCCACACACACATCAATCGCTATTTGGTCTTATTAAAATACTGAAATGCACAATGGTATAATGTATTCAGGTAAATATGCAATGCATTGCATGCGCCAAAGAAGGAATGCTTTAGAAGAGAATTGTCAATATATATACATTAGGGTGGCCATAAAAATATCAACAGCCAAATTTTATAGAACACACCCTTCCATTTTGTCGTAAAGGCAGCCACGACATTTTGAAAATTTAAAAAAAATTTTTTGCGGTCGTTACCAGGGTTTGAAAAAATTTAAAAACTTTTTAAGATCGCAAAAATTCGCCTGCATTTTACATAAAAGTTGTTAAATTTGACATATTAGTAAAGCTAATTAATATCAATTCACGAACCCGCCGAGCTATAGCTTATCGAAGGCAAAATTTTGTCGAATTTTAACGATTTAAAAAAAATAAATTTTTTCAAACGCTGGTAGCGACTCCAAATTCATTTTATTTTTAAATGAAGTGAAATAAAGAGGTGCTCTATAAAAAAGTTTAGACTTTGATATTTTAAGGACCACCCTAATAGATTGGAAAATGTTTTTATAACATAATTCAAATCAGGTAATGATGCATAAAGAAAGCTAAAAGTTTTTTGTAGAGAATTGCTGCAGTATTTACCTTTTTAAACTGACTACCTTTAGTTGCATAAGGCTGAATTTCACTACACTGAGAAAATATTTTAGTTACATCAATCAATATGTTGTTTTTCTCAATACATGATTTGGTTATACATATATACATTATTTGGTTATTGTTACCAAATCATGTGTTGAGAGAAATAAATTTAGCTAACTTTTTTTCTGAGTGTATGTCATATTTTGGCGCTTTAACTTAAGGCTGGTTTTCACTATGTCATATTTTGACGCAAAAATTTGTCCACATATTTTGACACATCTGCCAAAACAGACCGATAGCCGACTTAGCAGCGCATGTACACGACTAAAGATTTATCCTGATCGAAATCAATCGATATACCGCTTTTTAATCTCATTTGACAATGTGTTTTCACTTATTTGACCCTGCCATTGGATTTGACTTAGTGAACGCTAGTATTTACGTTTTGGTTCATTTAATATTAAGTAACTCAACTTCGTCAGGTCTATACCGTAGAGCCTCGCATTAGGGATCTTAATATGGCGACTCGACAACTGGTCAACCAGTGGGAAGAGCATTATAATTTCACCTCTGGTGGGAGCAAGCTTTAAACAACCATAAGGTTCTTGGCGAAGTAGGATGAAAGAGTGGAAATTTTATTCGGACGCTTCTAAAGGCGTTGGCCTAAATGAAATATGCACATTGATGCCGAACAACTTAAGTAGGGTGGGTCCTCAAAGTGCCAATGATCACCCTCGTCATTACTTAAGCCGGGGAAACCTGCCTACAAAAAAAGTCTTATTGACCGATAACACTTAGGGGAGACACTTGAAGGGAGATGACATCAATGGCACCTCCCAGTAAGCAGTTGCAGTGTACTCTAAAACAAATGGCTATTTCACCGAAATAGATAAATCTTCACCATAATCAGCCTAATTCTCTCTCTTACGAAGTCTACGCTAACCAATTTTAAAACCTTTACGAAATAGGTGAGGCTGCGACGTTAAGCAATCCGAAAACCCTGGGGTTTACTTTGGACCACCTGGTCTCTTTTTACGCGCACGTAACCGCAATTGTCCATAAAGTACAGAATCACAATAACGTCCTCAAGTCGCTGGCTGGCAGTATAGAACTCAGTGGACGCAGACTTGAACAGCCTCAACACATCGTATGCTGGCCAAAGGGTACTGATCTACAGCCACTGACAGGCGCACCTAGACATGCACCTGCTAGAAGCAGAATCTGCCTCTAGGTCCATGATAAGGCATCCCGTGAACTGCAGAATAATACGCAGGACTCCGACAGGCATTGAACGATACTCACTGGGTGACTATAAACAGCTTCAGTTGCTTCGAAAGACTCGCTTCTCTCTGGTATAATTACTGTAGCAGTTTAAACTTCTACCTGTCCGAAAGCGATCCTGATGTACTCATCGTATGTCCAGCACGTGAAGGTTCCCCGCATGACACCAATGATCTGCTCACTAGCCCCCTTTAACTGACTGATTTAATGTCAATCCGTTTTGATCCGAGCTCTTCGAAATAGCTGCAGCAGCAAGAACAACTACAGTGGAAAGATCCAATGCAGAATGGCCTGCCTTCATTTGGTGTGAATAACTAGCACACTTTTCACTGAATTAAATAATGAGCATACATGTACACTCCGTCTCAAAACTATAAGCGCACCTCATACATATTAACAAGTCCTTACATTTTATTGTTTTTAGAAAATTTTATTTTTTGTTATTTTCTTATAAAAACGTGGTTTATTTTTTAAGAAAATCCGATTTTCAAACTTTGCCCAAAGTTAAAAAAGAAAAATCAACAAACTTTCGTAAACATATCAAGATAAATTTTTAGCATTTTTTGGCCGAGATGTCGTGCACTTTCTTCCATAAAAAGTATGATCTCTGATTTTTTTTATATGAAGGAAAATAAGGCAGAAACTTTTACGAAAAAAAGAAAAAATTCCCAAAAATTAACAATAAGTCCCAGCTACTTGAAACATGCACTTTATTATATCAAAATTGATTCGGTTACAAATCTGCATACTAAACATTTTTTTCAAGAAATCTAAAAAGGGGGAAAAAATGTCAAAAATTAGCTACCTCAAACCCGCACTTTATTATACTAAAATTGATTGGGCTACAAAACTGCTTATTGAAGATCTTTTCAAGAAATTTAATTAAAAAGCTTGTAATTTTTACGACAGTTTGTTGACTTCTGTAATATTGAAAAATCTTGAACACTTCGATTCGCACGGTTCTTGCCAAATAATAAACTAGGTCTTTAATTTTGACACAGAGTGTTTTTAGTAGATTTTACCTTACAAGAAACCGCGTACAAAAGTACTTAGTATTTTCGGCTTCCCTAAATATCGTATATGTATAAAAGTAGTACCGAAAAGTATCGAAAGTCCCGAAATTATACGAAAACCCCGAATGGTCAAGAAGTAGAATCCCGAAAAGCCATAAAAAAATTAAAACAAATCTTGACAAGTTTTGAAAATCCCGAAAAGTTTCGAAAATCCCGAAATCCCGAAAAGTCAAGAAAAATCGTGAAACATATACCACGCAGAATCCGGAGAAGTCCTTAAGAAATACGGGCGAAATTTAAAGAATTTCGAAAAATCCCGAAAATCACAAGTCAAAACGACAAATATTGTGCAAATGTACAGTGAGATTAATTGTACCACCCGCCACTAAATTAGCTTTAAATCTAAATATTTCTCTAGATATGCAGACCAATTGAGAGCTCTTTAAAAGAAATATTACTTCAACTTGCACCCTTCTGAAACCGAGAGACACTTGTAATACTTTAAACCTAATAATAAATTCAAATCAACGTATGGATTAAGAAGCATTATTAAGTGACATTTAAATATTAATGACCCAAAATAAATTTCGCTCATTTTTGTATAATTTCTGCTCAACTCCACGCGTTGAAATTTTTTAAGGAAATCACGTAGCAGAGGTTAATCAACCCTGTGTATGTATGCATCTATATTTAGAATTTGTGCACATCTTCAAAATTCTTAGTATGTACATACATATTTATGTAAGATTGAAAAAAAAAATAAATCTCAGAAAATAACCACTACATACAAACAAAAAACAAACAAACTTGCACAGCTTTTGAATGGAATTTCAGCTGCACAGATTTGGCACACATTTCCACTATGGATGGCTGGGCCCAACTCCCACATTGCTAATGCATTCACTTTACGCACACGTGGGCAGTTGTTTTGCTACGAGTGTGACTGTGACGGTGGCTGTGAGTGCAGTGCTTGTGCGCGTATTGGTGGGATGCTTGTGTTGCCATCTTCAAGCAATTTAACCGACAGTCAGCGTTGCGCATAAATGCCACAAATATTTCGCTTTGTTGGGAATTTCAGGCACTACAAGTGTTGTGTTTAGATTTTTTATTTTTTTTGCTACGAGTATTTTCTTATGGATGTATTTAGATTGGCTTAAGAATTTCGACAGATTCACGTTTCTTTTGTGTGTTATTTCAATTGTTCTATGGCAGACAACGCGGCTAGCTGGTGTAGGTGAACAGTTTTGTTGGCTAACTGCGGATAGCATA